GAAGTGCCTTTACTTTGCTCAATCTCTCTCCAGAGCCTGAAAAGCCAGGTGTGGTGTTTACAGTGAAATGCAGAAAAACAGGGTGATTGAATGCAGAATTCCTCATGGGAAAGAAAAAAACTTGAGAAGTGAATAGACTGAAGGGGGAAAAAGTGACACAATACTGTATATATGTGTTTATACTCTGGTGGTAATATTCACAAAGCATGTCTTTATGGATTCGCTCAGCATACTGCAGGGTACAGAGGCAGTTAAGTAAGAGAAAGAAATTACAGTAGATGTAGATGCTCTGCTCTTTGTTTTTCCACTTTTGCTTAGTTGTGGTAACACAGTTACATAATACAACATTTGTTATGATACCTACCATTTGGTATTTGTATTACTCTATCCCTCTTTACCTTTTGTCTTTCTGGTCTCTTTCTACTCTTACTTTTCTCTTTTGTATAAGGCTTAAAAATAGTAAAAAAACAAACAAAATCGGATTAATATTCACTGAGGTCAAAGGACAAAGAAAAGCGTTTACTACTATAGCATTAAGATCCCAGTGGTTTACCAGGCATTTTAATCATATAGTTGTAGTAAGAGTAAAGATGCATATTATTTATGAGGGACTACAATATTATATTTTAAGGGGTGTTAAACTGAGTGTTCTGTAGGGACAGAGGTTGCTTTGTAGGCTAGTTTTATTTGTAGCCACGCTAGCATTGTGTCGGTTGGTCGGTCAGTCCACCGCTGAAATATCTCAACAACTATTGGAGGGGTATGAAAGTTTGTTAGTTGTCCCCAGAGGATGTATCCTAATGACTTTGGTGACTCTTCCTCCAGTGCCACCATCCATATGTGATCCCTTCTCACAGGTTGCATGCCCATGACATATAATCATCATTTCCCATTTGTGATCCCTATTGACTTTTGTGATCCCCTCACTTTTATCTGTAGCACCACTAGTATGTTGATATTTGAAATGTCTCGACAATTACTGGATAGATTACTACAAAATTTAATGGAGACCTTTATGTCTCGTTCAGGATGAATTGTAATAACTTTAGTGATGCCTTAACTTTTCACCAGGAGCCATCATCAGGTTAAAACACTTTGATTTGTGACCTTATCACATACTTGAAAACTATTGACATTCCCATCAGCCTCAGCTGTACTTTTTGTTTAGTGCTATTTAGCAGATATTAGCATGCTAACATAAACTGGTGAACATGCTAAATATTACATTTGCTAAATGCCAGCATGTCAGCATTGTCTTAATGAGCATGTTGGCTTCCTGGTGTTTATTTTGTGGTTATGGCTTCACATTGTTTATGACAATGTTTCTGCTTTATTATTGTTTTATTGGACTTTGGTTCATTCATTTTGTGATATGTGATCATCATTCTGTTAACATGACCTCTCTTGTGCCTTGTAATCAAATGTGATCTGAATCTGGATGTTTTAAACAGAAAATAACAAATACAACAGCAATATCTTAACATTTACTTGAGTTTCTATGATTTTCTTGTCTGCATTCTGTGCACACTGTGATCAGATCTCCCTTTTCACAGGCACCATGCAAAGCTGGTGAGTAGGTGGTAGTTCTATTGTCAGTAAACCCAAACATGGCAGGTGGAGGGTCCCCACAAGTGGCATAACTGTACAGCCTGTACTTAGTTTTCTTACTTTTACCTTCCAGAGAAACGCCTTCCACGACTGTCAGAAACAACAGAAGTGACAAGCTTCTCTTGTATGCTGGTACAGAGCAATAGAGATGACATTCCCGCCTAGAGCTGTGCAGTTTTATACCCATGGCTGGATATTTTCTCACTAACGTGAACACAATGTACAGATTGCATTTACACCTGGCTGACCATGTTTATGCAGTTTTCCTGATCCTTAACATTTTGATGCCAGGCGTAAAAGGCTGAAGAGCTGCCAAAGACCCTGTGTACTAGATTTTTCTGGATGTTAACACTTCACTCTTTCCTTCCTTTTCTTAGGTAAAAGCCCTCACCCTGTTTGTGACCCATTATCCTCCCCTGTGTGAGTTAGAGCGAGTGTATCCTGAACATGTGTCTAATTATCACATGGCTTTCCTACTCAATGAACCTGACGTCACTACTGACACTGACGGTATGTGGGTGTGCATTTTTGTGCGCATATGAAAATACTTTTAGTGTTTTCTGGTGGATTTGATTGCCTCAAATTTAGTTACCAATCTTACTTTGGCAATTTCTACATCATTATGACTTGGCACTTGGGATTTGAGCGTGTATGTGTTGACAGATGAAGAGGTTCAGCCAGAGTTCATCACCTTCCTCTACCAGTTAACTGAAGGAGCTGCAGGGCGGAGCTATGGCCTGAATGTCGCCCGATTGGCTGACCTTCCAGACTCTATACTACACACTGCTGCACGCAAAGCCAGAGAGCTAGAGAGCATGGTCAACGCCAGGAGGTAGAGTGAACACACATATTCACCCTGACCATTTGTAATAGATGGAATTCACTAATTTTACACATAAAGATCAGTTTACTGGTCATAGGGAGTACAAGTCAACTTGTGAAAACATTTGTATAATGTATTTTGTGGCTCTGGAGAAGCTGTTTGAAGTCTGGGAAAATAGCATAAGCAGTGATTCGTGATACACAGGATTTTGCAACTCTGGAAAGTTATCACAGAGGCAGTTATTTAATCTTTTGTTGTGATCATGGTAAGGTAATCTACCATATATTTGATAATGTGTTTTGTTGTGGCAAAATTTGAGCCTCGGTAATTTTTTTTTGCTGGCTCTGAATGCAGCCTAACTCAAAAACAGTATCAAGTTGCATTATGTGAAATG